GTTTTAAATAAAGAAGTTCACGTGCTTTGCTGCGACCGTGCTCAGTGCTTCGTTGTGCGTCCAAAGATTGGAGTCCTGTAGCTCAGTGGTTAGAGCACTCGCTTTGCAAGTGAGAGACCTGAGTTCAATTCCAGGCAGAGGGCGAAACCTTGGGCAAGTTTCCTTACTCCACACAGAGCCTAATAATAATCCCTCCAAAAAACAATAATAAATTGGTCATTTTCAATCTACGACTGTTTGTGGGACATTGCTGTGCGCAATTGGCTGCCGCGTTCGCCCACAAATATACAGTCAATTCACTTTACAGTGTGTTCTGTGAAGCGCTTTGGGACGTCCTCCCGACGTGAAAAGCACTATATCAAATGCAAGGATTATTATTATTATTATTATTGTGAGGGTGCAAGGAGGGTAAAATGAGCAAAGTAACCACATCTCCACCTCCTTTCAACCCCCCCCCTCACCTCCCCTCCTCTCTCTCTCTCTCTCTCCCCAGTTGCAGATCCTCTGACCTATTAGAAAACAAATTCCACAGTCACATATCTGTGGACAACAGTTTGCAACAAAATTACCGAGCGGCAAATTCTCTGAATATCGATTGCCTGCGTGTTGTATTTTTGGCCTCGTCTCTTAATGCCACATTTTTCTTTAATACAGTATGTATGAGTTAGGAGAAACAATCGCGACAGTCTGTTTTCTCTTTGTTGTTGTTGTTCCGTCGTTTGCAGTGTGCTGTTGGGTCAGCCTCACATCCCGAAGAAGCGGCGAAATGTACAAGAGTTGAAGTTCAGGAGATGAGGCAGATTTTCGTGACTGGTGTGTAAAAAATACAGTTCCACTATCATAACTGGTTGTGCTCTGTATTTCACCAAAGCCAATAACTAGCACACAACCAGCTGTGTGTTTGTGTCTGTGTGTGTGTGTATGTGTGTGTGTCTGGGTGGGGATGTGGGCGGTGGGTGTGTTCTTTGTGGGACGTTGCTGTCCGCAAATTGACTACCGCATTCGACTACAAACAAACACAGAAACTACATTTTACTGTAAATCTTGTGAAGCTCTTAGAGATGTCCTCCTGATGTGAAAGGCGCTATATCAAATGCAGGCGTATTTATTTATATTTATTCAAGAATATGTGACTCCGCAATCCTAGACCGCATTTGCACCGTCGCCTCAGACTGCAGATAAAATTTTGTATACTGCACTCCCAGAACTTGTTTGAAGTAACAGCAGTTTAAGCAGTAAAAGTTTAAGGAGCGTGTTTTTGTTTTAGGTACATATTTCTGGAAGTGTTCATATCATTGTGGGAGAGAGGGGAGACTCTGACATTGGGATAGGACTGAATTAACATTCGTGTTGATCTCATTGTGAACAAGGGTGCTTCAACCTCAACTGAGCATTTTAATTCAGTTCTGTACGAACGTGTTCACAAACTCCAGGTAACTCGTGAAGAAGTTTGTACGGAACTGAATTAAAATACACAGTCACCGAAGTCGGGAGTCCTCCCACTCAGCTCCTGTTAACCCTTTTTATTGAGGGGAAAGCTTGCCAGACAGTGATATCAATGGCAAGCTATGCGGTTTTAGCTGGTTACCAGTTACCCCCCAACTCAGTCACTCTGGGGTCCCCAAGCCTTGGCTCTTACCAACCTGCGCCTAATACTTTCTGGAATTTAGGTAATCAGGATGTGTCCCTCCAGGGAGAGAGAGCGCATTGCATTCCAACAATCTGTCTCTGGGGTTTCCATGTGTAGGTGGGATGCGTGGAAATCTCAGCTTGGTTTGGGTACTCTTAAGCAGGATGATGAGTTTTTGCATGTGTCATACTAATATTGTTAGTTAAACAACAGACAATATCAAGAGAGACCAATATAGGATATAAAAATGATTCATTTTAAATACTGACTGTGCCACCTGCTCTTTAAATACTGCGTAGGACTGATTTAGTAAAGGACTGTGGTGGCAAAGAGTAATTAATACAGTATTGAAAAGCTTTCATGATGGAATAATTCCTGTTGCAGAAAACAAGTTGGCAACATTTGTGTCTATCCTGACTTTAATGGAATTCCAATTTATTAGTGTTGTGCTTGTTTGCCGAAGCTTAACCAGTAATGAAAGCCAAACAGTTTACACAGGAGAGGGCACAAAATGGCGACATCTTGTCTTAATTCCAAATATTGTGCCGTTTTGAGTACAAATTCTTCTTCATAAACAAATGATATTATAAATTCCATAATTCTTCAGTCCAATCCTTACTTAAGAGGAAGTTGTTACATTTTACTTTTGGGTAAGAATTCGATTCAGCGTTTTTGGTGACGTCAGCCATTAATAGGATTTCGTATTACAATTTCGCCTCGGCAAACTAATTTTTACCCTGTATCGAATGCAAGGGATGTGGGCCGAAAGAAACTTTGTGCAGTAAATTCAGGGCTGGGCAGTCTAGATCCTACTGCTCTCTGAGTGACACATATGCACAGCGACAAACTGCACTAGAAAACACACAGACACACATACACATTTTAAGACACTTATCTGAAGAGAACTTGAGCAAAACATTGTGACTCTGAGTCATTTGTCCTCTCTGCAAAACTAGTAAAAAGAAGTGGCTTTCTGTCACAAATCAGCAGTAAGATGCTTAATGCAACTTACTGAATCCTTAAGACACGATAGTACAACTGGCTTTATCGGAGATGCATATGTCCAATGGCACGTAGCTCCTGATGTGCAACCACATTTAATGGGCCACACAGAAGAGTTATTGGTGTGTCGTGTGTAATTAATTTGGTCAGTTGTTTGAACTTACAGTAGTATCACACCAGGGTCTATGTGCTTTTTCTTTTCTGTTACGAGTGCATAATTTCAGTATTTGAAATACTTTTTTTCATAAAACATTAAACTTAATAGAAACAGGGGACCTTAACACCAGAGCTGATGGCACTTGTGTTTAAGGAAACAACTATGAGCAACAACAGGATAGGTCAAAGCTCTTCAAGAACAACAACAACATATTACGTATGTATAGCGCCTTTCACGTCAGGAGGACATCCCAAAGAGCTGCTTCAGCCTTGAAATCTCACAGGTGTCACTATGTAGTGCTCTGGGACCCTACCCTTCGTGAGGGGTGCTATACAAATGCACGTTGTTGTTGGTGGTGTTGTTATGTAAAGGCATATAAATGCTAAATGAAATAAAGAAATTAAATCCAGAACAGTACTTGCACATAAGCCAAAGCAAGATGATGCATGTTTAGTGTTGTGAAAGGCAGTTTTAGGACAGACACCAGGTGGTATTTCTGTAAACAGAGAGTAATTGACAGCTGGAACAGGTTACTAGAAAGGGTGGTTGGATGGAGGATACCAGACTCTTTTAAGAAACAGATTGATGCTGTGATGGTGATGACAATGATAGGGTGGGTACTTTCTCAAAGGATGAGATCATCTGGGCCAAAGGGCCTCATTGATTCCAAACCTCCCTTATGATCCTCTGAGTATAAAAAAAGGAGTTGCATTTAACTTGTTTGTGTCGTCCAGGAAGAGGATGGGAGATGAACACGAACCTAATGCTGATTTGTGGTAATAATAATCCTTGCATTTGATATGGTCTTATCACATTGTTGAGATGTCTCAAAGCGGTTCACAGAATATACTGTAAAGTGGATTGACTGTATTTGTGATGCTGGGAATCAGGAATTCTGGATTCAAATGCAGCTCATAAAAAGATACACTTTTATTCATGTTGGAGTAGTTACTGGGTTAATATATATAATATATTTAGACAGAAGAATAACCATAGCAATACCCAGATGTGATGGCACATCTCAAGAAATTCTTGCCCTGTCAGAAATTGTTGATCGATCTGGGTACTGACACAATGCTCCTAAGGCCAAAACTATCTTTGTTTTTTAACATCACCATTTCTCCACACATCTGCCTGTTCAGGTGGACGTTAAAGATAATCATCATCATATTAATAATAATCCTTGCATTTGCTATAGGGTATTATCATGTCATTGAGACATATCAAAGCCCTTTACATATTTTGTGGGTGAAATGCGGCAGTCAATTACGCACAGCAGAAGATCCCATGGCACTATTTGAAAAGAGAGAAGGGAGTTTCTCTCTCCTGGTGTCCTGGCCAACAATCCCCCAGATAAAATTGGTTATTCACTTCATGTCTGTCTGTGGGATATTACTGTATGCAAATTGTCAGTTGCATTTGCCTACAAAATGCACAATCACTACACTTTAGTGTAAATCCTGCAAAGCGCTTTGAGGCATCCTCCCGAGTGTGAACGGCACTGTATCAAACGTAAGAATTATTATTTCCATTACTCACATCAGCACCTGATCTCGAAAAAAAAGCCTTTCATAAAGAACAAACCCTATATTTCCCAGTCGTGATCATTAACCCCTGCCACTTATAGCACATTGAGGATAAATTCAGTTTGGGTATTTACAAAATAGCTGCAGCCAAATAAACTTCTAGGGTAACACGAGAGCCATTAGCCAACGGATTGCTGTGCAGGTTGCCAAAAGAAACATTTTTGGATATCCATTTCACTCGTTTTAAAAAAAATTGCGATCATTCAATACCAGGACCCTGCAAGAAAGAGAAAAAAATTAATGAGACGAGCAACCCAAAGTATTCCCCATTCAATCTTATCTTTATTCCACTTGTCCTTCAGATATTGCTTTCCTTGCCTCTTTCAATAAAATCATCTTGTTTCCCTTTTTATGCTGCTGCTTACAGTAACGGAGCTCAAAAGACCAATGTGAACGCCAACTCTTTTTAGTTGGAGTTCATAGCATTTGCTTTTGCAGATCAAAACTTGCACTGCAGCTTACATGGTATTAATGCTCAGCTTCAGATGTAGCCCTGTAGGGGTTTGGGTCTTTTTTCCTTTGGTGTGGGGGAAGCGGGGAGTGGGGGTGGGGGGATGATGGCGGGTGATGGATATCCTATGGAGTATGCTCAATGTTTGTGAACACTGCTGTCCTTGTTTTCCAGGGTTCTGTTCACAAGCTCGGTCCTTAACCTGGCTGAACTGGTTGCCCTCCGACCCGACCTTGCCAAATTGAAAAAGGTCCTGTACTTCCATGAGAACCAGTTGGTATATCCTGTCCGGAAAAGCCAAGAAAGAGACTTTCAGTATGGATACAACCAAGTGATTTCATGGTAGGTAGTTTGTGCATTGTTGGTTCCTTCAATCTTTTTTTTTACCCAACCTCCCCCTTAACAAAATAACAATAAATTGGTCACTCAGTGCATAGGTTTGTGAGACACTGCTATGAGCAATTGGCTGCCGTGTTTTGCCCACAAAATATACAGTCAATTCACTTTACATTGTATTCTGTGAAGCACTTTGAGGCGTCTCAACAATATGATAAGGTACTATAGCAAATGCAAGGATTATTATTGACAATTTAGCTTCAAAATCTTCTAACAAACCTTGTAATATGGTGGATCAGATAAAATGCTACATCCTCACAGAGGGCAGAGTGAATCTTGCCACAGAGTAATATTTTTGTTCTTATATCCTGCATGACCAAGCAACTGATGTTTGGGTGTGTGTGTTGACACAAATATATAAATGATATTGATGGAACCTGCTTGCATTCCAGACAGGTGAATATATTTATAAAAGAAATAAAACTGCTTTCACATTGAGTTTGTGCCTTAAGCTTGTGCCTTAAACATTTTTTAAGCTTGATTTAAACACCAGTCTGCTCTCAACGTGGAGCCTGCAGTATGAGATTAATGGTTAAACTCAGCAAGCTACATTCCCCTGTCACTCCTGGGTATACAAAATACTGCACGAGTTGTGTGACATATGCATGATACAGATATTTTAGATGTTTTCACAATGTTCTGAATCCTGGATATAGGCCAAGTGGAGACAATAAGGAATACACTTGTCCACATAACAATAGTCACTATTGTTCAATGGAAGTCTTTGAGTGAAACACATTTTAATGCATTATTATCAAATACAAGTGTTTGTGATTATTCATGGTGAGATGCTATAGTGGACCAACTCCTGATTGGTGAAAATTTCATGTTATCACTGCGATCCATGAAGGACTGTGATGTCCTTCACCCACAAAATATACAGTCAATCCACTTTATAGTACAATCTGTGAAGCGCTTTGAGACGTCTCAAAGACGTGATAAGGCACTATATCAAATGTAAAGATTATTATTATTCTCATAACATGATATTGAGGTTTAATTTGCAGCGATCTGTCCATGATATCGTTAATATAAACTCTTGAGTTGCATGTAGGGAATCTTGCCGGTAAACCGGATTGTGTCACAGCAAATGTTTTCCCTGAATATTGTTGAAACAAGCAAGGTGGAGCCTAGGGAGTCCATGATGGACCTTCTCATCTGATGGAGCCCAGCTTGCTCTGAAATATGAGCTTCTTGCTCAGATGGCTGGATTGTGCGGTCCAACTTGGAAAAACTGAAGGGGTGAGAAAGGTGTAGAGGAGACTAAGTGCGGGGCTGTATCCTATTCTGAAGTTGCATTTTTTCTGTCAAACAAATGTAGAACAACACTGCAAGAATGCATTGTAAGGTACAGTAAAACTCCCATACGTATTAACTTTATGAACTGTAAAATCACCTAGGTCGTACTTGCATCCGAGTCCCATTCAGTTTTCTATCAATTAACCATCTCCCAACTCGTAGCGCCACTCCCTTATCCTCCATTAACTCCTGCACTATCCAGCTACATTGAATTGCAGGACCTCCTGATCCATTGACACGTGTGTGCACTTGCCAGTTGTAGTGATGAACTACTGCATGCGCATTATTGTGCATTAGTGATGAATCAGATTTGATATGACTTACACAGGTTTGCCTGCCACTCGGACTTTGTTGAAGTCATATTAAATGTTGTGGTCCCGACTGATATGACTTATGTGAATTTTAGATGAATTGGTCACTCAATCCACGACTGTTAATGGGACACTGCTATGTGCAATGGGCTGCCGTGTTTCGCCCACAAAATATCCAGTCAATTCACTTTACAGTGTATTCAGTGAAGTGCTTTGAGATGTCTCAAAGCCGTGATAAGGCGCTATATCAAATGCAAGGATTATTTATTATTATTTATATCGTGCCCCCAGACTAGTCACTCGGGGCAGGGAATCCAACTCAGCTCCTATTAACCCTGCACTCCAAAGCCTTAATGGGTAGGGTGGTCCTGGACAAGCAGTAGGAACGCTCGCCGGATATCAATATTTGTGGCAAGCCATGTGGTTTTAGTGGGCTAGACTCCAGCAGTTACCCCAACGCACACTCTTGGCTCTTGCCAACCTGCGCCTAATACTTTCGGAATTAGGTAAGCAGGATGCATCCCTCCGGGGAGAGAGTGCGCAATCCATTCCAACAATCTACCTCTGAAATTTCCACGTGGAGGTGGGATGCAGGGGAATCCTCAGTTTGGTTTGGATGGTATTAAGCATGGCGTTGGGTTTCTGCACGTGTCAGACACCCGGCTGACCAAAAAAAAAAGCACTTCCCACGTGAAAGGTGCCATACTAAAATGTAACAATTATAATGTTCACATACGTACACTTTTTCCTCGGCTGTGACTCATTTTATGACACGATTATGATGCCCTCGCTGTGACCCTGAGTGAGATCAGCAAACTCAGCACCTCATCGCACCCCATCAATTGCTGCGTAGCTCGGGAGATCTCTATGTGGCTCAGTTCCACACTCTGCGGCTCGTTTGCCAACCGGGCCACTAAGGGAGCAAAAAGCTAATCGATGCGGCATTTTGTTTTGCGCTTTACAGAGAGGCAATCGATGCACAATTATAACAAAATCAGTACTTTGTAGCAGAAGTCTACCTCTGCGTCCATCAGATAGATTTCTGGAACCGTTCTGTGTGCCGTACATGAACGGTTTGAAGCTTTGCGGTGTGCCCTGTAAAACTGATAACATTGTAACCGGTTCTCATATACGGGCCATGATCCCAACAGCAATGGGATTAAATCAGGAAAGTGAATGTGCTCATTGTTTTGCATCATGTCTCTGCTACTTTTGAGTACGTTTGTGGAGGGATTATGGGCACAGCTGCCACTTTCTGTTAAACCTGCACAGCAGGACTGTGGCGCCCCGTGATAAATGCTGGCTACCTCTCTTCACTTTCTCAGTTTTGTTGCGGCAAAAATAATAATATACTGTAATGATAACGTTTGTATTTGACATCGTGCCTTTCACGTCAGGAGGACATCTCGAACCTCTTCGCAGGATCCACTCAGTCTAAAGCGTTATGACGGCATTTTTTTGTAGGCTAAAACGGCTCAACCTAATCACCCTCGGTTTGATAAAACTGGTGCATTTGTTTATGGTAATCTGATTTAGGATGCGGAGTTTTGCACATCATAGGTTCCGGGATTTGAGCAATTATCCGCTCCACACCTGTGCAGCCCACTTAAAATACAATACGATTTACATTTATATAGAGCCTTTCACGTCGAGAGGACGTCTCAAAGCACTAAAAATAAGGTCACTATTTATTTAACGTACCTTGTTTCAATCTGCTGGTAAAATCTCTTGTCATGGCTATTAGTATTAATCTGGCCCCAATTTCCTTTGTAAATGCTATTAATTTGCTTTTTAAATGCTATTAATCTGAAATGCTGTACACTGTCCAGCACCTTGGGACGTCCTCCCGACGTGAAGGGCGCTATACAAATGTAATCTTGTTGTTGTTGTTGTTGTCAATTTATCCAAGCACTTTTTTTACACAGTTTCAGTGCATTGAATAATAAATTGTTCACTTCAATCCACGGCTGTTTGTGGGACACTGCTGTGGCCACGAAATATAGTCAATTTACTTTACAGTATATTCTCAAAGACGTGATCAGGTGCTACATCAAACGTTAGGATTATTATTATTATTATTGTTCCATTATTAGCCTCTGATCATGCATTGCACCTCCCTTTTTCCACCCCCATTATTTTACATCTTAACTGCCACTATACTGTCAGAAGCTGTTTACGTCCATACCCGCATGTCCATTCCGCCCCCAGAGGTATATGTTTACCTGGTTCAGCTCCAGAGTACTTACTTTGGCACCCGGGTTGGTCAGGCAGTGAGGTAATGGTAATGGTGAAAGTTTGCTTCAATATGTACTAAGTTTTCTTACACAGATCACGTGAATACCCTTGAGAAGTCATGTAGAGGAACAAATGCGTAGCAAATGGTGAACTTATTTTTATCCAGTTTGGTATGAGCAATAACATCTTGCATTTCTAAAGTGCCTTTCACTTATTTAAATATCGCAAAGTTTCCTTTACAGAGACAGGGTGTGAACCCGAGCAGGTGGGAGATTGGGGGAGTTAATGGAAGGTAAATGACTGAAGACGCAGTCGGGGAGCTAGGTCTTTACAAAGGTTGCAAGGTGGAGGGATTTATACACACACATATATACATATATATATATAGAGACAGAGTTCTAGAAAGCGGGGGTCAAGGTGAAGGCACACCCTTTGACACATAATTCCAGTGCCTGCAACTCATGAGCCATCTTGAAAGTTCTGATTCATGTTGGAGGAAACAGATCTGTTTGTTCCCTTTTTTTTTGCCACCTTGAACTTTTAACCGTGGAACTTGTGTGCTGACGTTGTACTTTCAATCAGTAATGACTCATTGTTTCTAACTTTCCTGAATTCCTTTTTTTTTTGTGTGCGTTTATTCCTCAAGCCAAGCAAGGGATGTTCATTCCGTGGAATGGAACACTTTGGCAGTACTGAGGACAACGATAACTTGCATTTATATAGCACCCTTCACGTGGGGCAATGCTCGAGTCCTCCCTGGCCTGCCATAGCATATGTTGGTTGCAAATGTTACTACTTCTCCCACAAAATATACAGTCACTACACTTTACAGTATATTCTTGACTGTGGCGGAGCACGATGCCAAGCCGGGGGAAGGGGAGGTGACCTTAGGCACGGTCGAAGAGGAAGGTCTTCAGGCACAACCTGAAAATGGGGAAGGAGCGGGCCAAGGCGGAGGGTTAGAGGGAGAGTGTTCCAGAGTTTCGGGGCGTAGTTGGCTGAAAGCAGGGCCACCGATGGTGAAACGGAGGGCATGAGGGACAGGCGGAAGGCTGGAGCCAGTTTAGCAGAAGTAGCAGGTAGTCAGTTGGAGAGTTAGCA